ACAATTCCTATTACCGGAGGACATGATGCGGGCATGTATGTAGTACTTGCATCGTGCTTTTTTTTTTAAATTTTCTTTACAAATGTCAAGTTTCCGAAACAACGACAGCAGGTGATTGTGTACGTGGCAGGTCCAGCTGTACCGTGTCCGCGGCTGCTACTGCTAATTTGAATCGTATATAGTTCGCTAGTTCTTACGTACACGGTTGGAATCACGTACAGTGCGCTGCCAAACAGCAAAATGCCGTCGCATTTGGCCTGCGATGTCGGGCGGTCAAATAAAGTATGTATGTATGTATGTATGTATGTATGTATGTATGTATGTATGTATGTATGTATGTATGTATGTATGTATGTATGTATCCTTTGTTGGCCACCGAGTAAGAGGGCTATGAGTGTGCCAAGACTTACGCTATTGCGTCCGCTATATTGCCTCACACACGTGTCGAGTGTCATGCGCCGCCGTGGTGGTCTAGTGGCTAAGGTACTCGGCTGCTGACCCGCAGGTCGCGGGTTCGAATCCCGGCTGCGGCGGCTGCATTTCCGATGGAGGCGGAAGTGTTGTAGGCCCGTGTGCTCAGATTTGGGCGCACGTTAAAGAACCCCAGGTGGTCGAAATCTCCGGAGTCCTCCACTACGGCGTCTCTCATAATCATATGGTGGTTTTGGGACGTTAAACCCCACATATCAATCAATTAATCACGTGTCGAGTGTAGTTGACCCTAAGATAAAACGGTTTTCTCCGCCTGAAGTACGTACTTCGTAACACGTTCTGAAATAAGGCTCGGCCGCGCGTGCACTTCGCACGGTTTCCGAGAGCCACCGCTGGATCGTTTAGCTTATCCCGCAGCAAGGGAGGCTCCCGTGCGTGCGTGCCGGTTGTGGTCAACCGTGAAGCCGGCATCGTCTTGCAAATTACGTTCACTTTAGAGAAGCTTGCGTGCGTGTTGGTGGAGTTGTCGTTCATTTGAGGAAAACGTTTAAGAAAACAAAACAAAAAACAGTTTCGTCGCAAGGGCGTAGCAGTGAGTGCGATAACAACGAACTGGAATGGAGTTGACTATATTAGATCTTATCTGGCCTGGCGTAACTCAACAAAGCGCCGTTTTAAGGGAATACGGGCCAACCGTGGACCGAAACGGTTTTACGTCCTGTCAGCCATCTAAACGCGATGTAAACGTTTAAAGCGCGGCACGTTTCTGAGCCGTATTCTGATGTCTGTCGAGATAGTGACCGCACCCCACTCCCTCCTGTCTGAGCGCGCGCGCGCGCTGTGTGTGTGTGCGTGTGTGTGTGTGTGTGTGTGTGTGTGTGTGTGTGTGTGTGTGTGTGTGTGTGTGTGTGTGTGTGTGTGCGTGTGTGTGTGTCTGTGCGTGTGTGTGTGTGTGTGTGTGTGTGTGTGTGTGTGTGTGTGTGTGTGTGTGTGTGTGTGTGTGTTTGCACGCACGCGCGCGGGGAGCCGTCGACCAACGTTACTAGATACTGTGCCACCGACTGTGGGCCTCGCACGTCGGGCAATACCATGTAAATATATACGCCCTCCGTGCGACGGAAATGGCCGGCTCGCTTCTTCTATCCATCGGCCGCGTTCATTCCCGGCACTTGCTTGCACTCATGCGTGGAACATAGAAGTGTGGAACAATGTCATCGATTAGGATTCTATTCGTAACATGACGGTGACGGCAAAATCCTGCCGAGAGTGTCCACATAATTCTTCTCGAAAAAAACTAATAAACAAGGAACGGGCAGAAGCATCTTGCTGTTACCCTTCCTCTATCGTTAATGTCAGCTGCTGGCACCTGAACGGCGCTCGGCAAAGGGAGGCTGGGTCGGTAGCAGATAAGTAAGTAACTTGTAGGAAGAGAGGATGTAGAGGTATCTGCATATGTATAGATGAGCCATTTTGACACAACAGCTCGAGGTCGCTTGTCGAGTGATTTTTACCTTGAGCCGAGGGTTAATAATCGGTCTCGATCGTATACGAGCCGGCCCGGTTGCGTCTTACCAACAAGGCTCTAAAAGGCGTTCGCTCATTGTACGATACTCAATTCTGCGAACGGACAAATGTGACTGTGCTGTGACCGCGTTATATGACTGTTCGATCGAGCTTCCATTAAATGTAGACGTTGCTTCTGACGAGGTTGTCACAAGTCGTTACGAAACCCCTAACGACGTTACGAAAAATCCCTTCCTCCGATTCGTCCTGGAGATAACGTGTTCGCGTACTGTTTGCCCCGTTCGCGGCAGTATTTACTATAACTACACAAGCAGTGGTGTTTGGCAGTGCCACCTTCGCTCGCATGCTAGCGGTACCCTTCTAACTAGCGCTGGTTATGATGGCTAACGAGGGGTAATGTCTGCGGTGGCGTTGGCTTAATTGAAGTGACTCAGGGGAGATGTCTGATTGCGTCGTCCTCTCGTACTTATTGCAGGTACGTTGCTTTTAAACAATCGAAGTCAAATATGGTGCTCTTGCGTAAACATGTACTGTGCGTTGGTTTCAATTGGGATGTGTTTTTTCCTTCTTGTTTCTTTTTTAATTAGCTGGTGTGGCCCATAACGTTTTCTGCGTGCGCGGAACTGATGAGGTTCAGTAATAGGCGCCGGGCAGCGTCTATAAAGAGAACATTAATTTCTCTGTCTCTACTCCCAAATGACCTGAGAAACAAGCGGGCGTGATTGCACGATTCACGCGCGAAAACGGAATGGGCGAGGCGTGCGGTTCGTTGCAGCTCGTATTATAGTGCCGCAGAAGAGGGTGTGTGAAGCAACGAAAATGAGTCGTTTACGTATGTCAGCTATTCTTTTCCCGGCGTGTTTATTTTGGCGCCGGACCTCTTCGTGCTCGTCTCGCTTCTCTTAATCCTCCGTTTAACGGGGAAAAAAAACAATGAAATAAGGACGCGCAGATTCTTGGCGTGCACGTTGGGGGTCTAACTATATAGCGCTATGGACGCTTGCCAGGCCTTTCTTGCCTCGGCGGGCTTCGCATTTTCATTCACAGTCACGTCGGGTCTCTTCCGTGGTTTCCCACAATGAATTAGCACCCCATATATTTCGTCCTTCCTCGGCCGTACGACGCTTTGTGTCACGTTTGCCTGAATGCGCGTGCAGGGATGAAGGAGAATGCACAGGAACTGCATGCGCGACATTTCGCCGTCTTCTTTTTTTATTGCGATTGTACTTGAATATCCGAGACCCCTCGTCGTTAAAAAAAGAAAAAAGAAAAGGAAAATACTGCCGTATACGCTTGGCGGTGTCTCGCATATTGTTTAAACTGCGCCCCTCCTAGTGCTACTTTCGGTTTCGTTTGGCCGTGGTGCTGGCGCGTGATGTTGCCCACGTGGCTCTCTTGCGGCCGCCCCGGCAGACGAGGCTCGTATCATGGCGGCGATGCGGGCTAGTTGGTTTCGTTCTCTTGCATTCCTATTTGTAGCGGGAGAACGGAAAGGGACGGAGACTCGGAAGGAAAGCATGAACATTCGGGAAAATGAGGATGAGGGAACATGTGTCGGTGCGGTGCCGGTTTCCTTATCCAGAAAGGAAATCGGGTATCCGAGAGTAAATCTTACGCATTCAGTGTGGTAACGCGTGAAGTGACAGACGTAAGAAAGCACTTCAGAGTGCGTTTGTGTGCTCGCGCTAATGTCCGACGGTTTTGGGGCCTTTTCAATAAAAAAAAAAAAGGTCAGTTGATGTCTAGCGCCCGTCGTGTTTATCAGTTTCTTCCGTGTCTCCGTTCCTTTCCGTTTTGCGCTACCAATATCAATGCATGTCGTATCATGGCACGCACGCTTTTTTTTTTTTTTTGCATTCGGATCTTCCCCCACCCCCTTTCTGATCCCTCCATCTGTCGGGCTTCGGCCGCTATAGTTGCCGCCAATTGGACCCGAATCCAGCTCGCGCCTTAGCATTCGCAGCCGTGTTAGCCACTGCGACGATTCGGTAATTACACTCCCCGATACAACAATGAAATGTGGTATTCATTACTTTTATTACTACTATTACTTTTCATATTTGAAACGATGGGACAGAAGCCGCGTGCGTCCATCTGTTCTCGTCGCAACTTTGTTTTTTTCTTTTTAAGTTTACTGTTGTGTCACCCTGGTAAAAGTGACGAGGGAGGAAATTAATCAAAGGCTCGTTTGTTTAGGCACAACCTGACGAAACCAACCGACAGCTAAGCGGAGAGAAGCATAGCCTGCATTGCTACTTGTGCGTGAGGATTGGCTTGTTACGTGATATCAACAACAAAAGTTTGCGGCACGCGGAATGTTCGATGAAGTTAAATTCCCGCTTTCTCTGGGAATGTAATTTCGAAATAAATGTTCCGTATTGCACTTTGCATTCCAACCTATAGCCAGCTTGATTACAGGCATTCAGCACGCTGATATAGCGGAAAATTCGCATTTGCTTGTGGATCCAACGAGCCGCAAACTTTTGCTGTTTATTGTACGTGTTTGTCACCACGCGAAGTTCTTCGTCATCATCGCCTGTATGGACCAAGGAGATCAGCCTCCCTGGTCAACCTTACCTTGATATTGTTGTGAGCCTAGAATATGATCGTTTCGCTGTGTCTTCAGGCCATATTAAGTGCCTGTTAACTGCTACGCCACGGTAGTTTTTAATATTAGCATAGTAATTATCACGTGATGCGAAAGAAATTAAAGTGGATGAAAAAAATCGGCCTGTCACTGGTAGGCAGCAAGCTGCTGATGACGCGTGCGATGCTTTACTAATTGAAATACAGTATCTCTGTCTATAACTCTTAGTGGTATAAGAAAAGTACTCGTGCTATCCTGGAAGGATTCGAAACAGAAGGACAAAACAAAAAAAGGACACTTTTCTGTTCTTTCTTCAATTCTTCCTTGATGATAGGGGCCTTTCTTTTTTGTATCTCAGTAAAAGCTGCTAGCCCAAGAACAAGTTTCATTGAATCTGTAACCCTCACACTTCTTTATTCTCGATCTTTAATTTCATACTGGCGTGCCTTCATTGCAGGCCCTGGGCGCACCACCTCCCGCTCCAGATGTGTCAGGCGGCCGCTGACCCGCCGTCCGGGCCCGCGACAGTGACCATGTCTCCTTGAGGTCCAAGTCAAGAAAAAAAAAAGTCTCTCCTTCGAGGAGGTCCCACCCCCAGCAGTCCTCTCACCTGCCTGGCGTGGTGTCCCGCACGCCGTCGGGAGTCGTCGGTGACCTCATCATGGCCCTCAACATCGGCATCCTCCCCCACCTCCTGGGCGCTGCGGCCAACAACCTGAACAACAACAACTTCAACAACAACAACAACAACAACAACAACAATGGCCTCTCGCGCAATGCGGGCGGCGGCGGCAGCAGCAACAACGGCGCCAACCCGATGAACAGTGTCCGGGACAGGCTGTTCCACGCCCTGTTTGTGCGAGTGGCGCTCGCGTACGCGACCGCGGTGCCCCATCCGTGCGGACTTTGTTCGAGTACATCACCTTGCTCAAGGTGAGGCGTCGCAGTGCGACGCGTTTGTGTCTGCCGCTGTGTTCCGTGTTCCGAAGAGCTGACGCTGACATCGCTTGTTACCTCGATGTGTAGAAAAAAACCGGGTTTGTTGAGGCGATAGCCATAGAAGTGTTTCATGAAACGTGAAGATTGACCTGTAGCATCGTTGGCGCCAACGCAAGTGATGCAAAAAGGCATTATCGCGTTGTGACGCCACCACGTTACGTCATGTGACGTGGCGTCACGTGATCATGTCGCATGACTTCGTCGCTTGGTGCAAACCGTTCACGGAGCCAATGTAATACCGGGTGAAGTGCGGAAACCATTAAGAGTGCATAGGGGGCTGCGGTTCTTTTTTTGTAGTTGGCACTTTTTCGGGCGATTTTGTTCATGTTGTTATTTTGTTCAAATATTGAGAAACCGTGCACTGCATAGGCATTGTTGTGCATTGTTTACGGCACGAAAAGCGACAGAGGCTGTAAAGCCACGAGAAAAGTGCTCAGTAAATGGGTTGGTATGTGGGGTTTAACGTCCCAAAACCACCATATGATTATGAAAGATGCCGTAGTGGAGGGCTCCGGAAATTTTGACCACCTGGGGTTCTTTAACGTGCACCCAAATCTGAGAACACGGGCCTACAACATTTCCGCCTCCATCAGAAATGCAGCCGCCGCAGCTGGGATTCGAACCCGTGACCTGCGGGTCAGCAGCCGAGTATTTTAGCCACTAGACCACCGCGGCGGGGCGTGCTCAGTAAATTAGGTAAAGCCTTTTCGTGACAAAAGTGTAGTTCTTGTGTTTCGAAAAACTCGTGATCTGTAAAAACATGAAAACAGTATCCCACTGTGATTAATCTTATGATAACATGAATGCATGGAATCGGGTGACATTGATAAGTTGTACTTTACAATCACCAATGTACTTAATTTCACGTCATAGAAACTAATGTCAAAGTTTAATTTGTAAGTTTAGCTCTGAAAATACCGCGTGCGACGTCACGGATTTCAGAGCCAGTTTTTCGTACTTTGGCGACGTTGGCTCAACGAAATTCATTTAATCTTGAGGAGTTCTGCTTCTTGTTCCCTCAGGGGAATATTTATTTCATTTTCACCGGTTAAGAGCTACGGAGAATCGAGTATAGACGCCGTCGAAATCTATGACGCTGTGGCGGCTGGTGCAGCAATTTCAAGATGGCGCCGCTGCCCGCGTTTCGTTTTTCGACATTTGTTTTTTGTGGTGATTTTATACTCCGTTTCATACATCAAGTGCAACGCTGTCAAAGCTAGCGCTCTTGTTTGCGCTGTGTACTGCCGCGACCAAAAAGTAGTGCGTCGCTTGGGGTGTACGAGAATCAATAAATGCTTCTCGGGAAACTTCTAAGCATACATATTTGTCATCAGGTTAAAAAACAAACGCCTGTGTTGTCGGATAAACAATCGAAATATGCGAGTTGGTAATTTATGTTTGTCGCTTTCGTATCAGGTTTTCGCTCTCCGCGCGACCCGTGCCGCCGTTTTTTTTTTTTTACTTGTTGTGGCAGCCTCGAAAAATGGCACTTTGGAACCCATGCACTTCAAAAATGGAACCAAAAATGGCAAAAATGGAACCGATGCACTTCAAAACTACGGTGAACTCTCCGGAGCGACGCGTCAGACCACTCGGCTACGAAACCGCGCGGAGCAACACCTCGTGTTTTCTTTACGGACTACTTGCCTAGCCTTCACAGCGTTGCACCTAATGTATGAAACGGAGTATAGTAATGTGAAAGAGTACTTTACTAATAGGAGAAAAATCGCTTTTTTTCTATTCAGTGGCACTTTGAACGTTCTTTGCAGTTTGTGAACGAATTTCTGCCCGTGTTTCACGAGCGGGGGATTTATTATACTTGTTCTGTTCCGGTTTTTGTTGTTTCAGTGAAAGGAATTGGAAAGGGCAGCACTTGGAAATGAGCGCTTGTGTGTGTATTCTTGTCTTGTTATTTGTTGATGAGCTGTTTATGCGCTCTCGTAGACGACCACGAATAACGAATTAGCACGAATAACCAATTAACCCTTGGGATGATTTCTTCGCAGGGGAGAACACCCGAGGAAGGGTGACAATACTCTTGACACGGGCGAGTGTGTCCTCGTTTAGAGGGGGTACCACGAGAGCGCGAATAACGAATACGAAAGAAGCACTTACAACAATACTGGCGCTGCCCTGTTGTATGTCTAATCCCGTCGCATCTGTTTCTTTCGTCTTCCTCGTTAGCGCTTTTCAAGCACCCTTTAAAGTAGACGTACAGAGAAGGGGGGCGGCTGCATGAAAATGACCCTTCACCCCTCTTGCCCCCCCCCTACCCCACCAGAGGAACTCACTTATATATATATATATATATATATATATATATATATATATATATATATATATATATATATATACATGTATCGTCACAGAGCCCGTGGGCATCGCCTGTAGTACGGCGATGTAAGGGCGGCGGCGTACGTCATGGGACGTTGTTCGGGGGCAGGATCGGCTGTCGAGAATGCTTGGCGGATTTCGTCACGGACGACTTGAGCGACAGATGCCATGGGTGTATCCACTACCGGAGTCCGCAGCCTTTGCAATTCTTCACGAACAATCTCTCTAATCATGTCCCGTAAGGAGCTATGACTGTCAAACGTCACAGCGGCGGCCTGAGTTTGGGGGCTGCTGCACAAGCGGTCATATTGTCGGCAGCGTTGGTGAAGGGCCCGCTCGATAGTCGACGCTTCTTTGATGAAGTTCTCTACAGTGCTTGGCGGGTTGCGCAGAAGTCCGGCAAACAGCTGCTCTTTCACGCCACGCATGAGGTAGCGCAACTTCCTATCTTCAGTCATCTGCGGGTCAGCCCTCCGAAATAAACGTGTCATGTCTTCGGCGAACATGGCGACCGTTTCATTGGGTTTTTGGACCCTTAGCTCTAGTAGTTGGTGGGCGCGGTCACGTCTGTCGACATTGGCAAAAGTTTCAACCATCTTCTGGTGAAAGTCGGTCCATGTGGACAGGTTGCCTTCTCTGTTCTCGTACCAAGTATGAGCGCTGTCGTCGAGATAGAAGTAGGCCCGGCCGAGTTTTTCCTGAGCAGACCAGTGGTTGATCTTCGCAACACGGTCATAGTGGTCTAACCAGTCTTCTACATCTTCGTGTGCGCCACCACCAAAGCGTTTAGGCTCCAGCGATTGAAAAAACGTTACCTGGGATGGAGCGGGAGGACTGGTGCCGAGAAGTACAGGCTGGGGGCTGGTGTTAGCCATTTCTAGATGTCTGGTAGAGGTTTTCTTCGAGGGGTTGCAGTCTGGAGGAATACCTCGTAGCCGATGACTGAATCGATGGACAGGGGTTGCAGTAGGCACGTCCGGGCTGGATGAATGATCCCCCACTAGGAGTGTGAAGCATCGGACAGCGTCACGGCCCAGCACCTCCACCAGTGTCGCAGTGCGACGCGAACAAATGATGACGGCAGCTTACGGCAGCGAAAAGAGCGTATTCAGGATCAGCTGTACAGCAAGATGCCTGCTTCGTTGTCGTCCCGAAAAACCACCTGACCCACTAGCTGGAATCTACAAAACATTCCTATCATCGTCTTTTTCATATAAACACGTGTCAATATATATTTATTTATATACATACATACATACATACATACATACATACATACATACATACATACATACATACATACATACATACATACATACATACATACATACAGTAGACTCGCGATAATTCAAACTCTGATAATTCGAACTTTCGGTTAATTCATACAAAATTCAAAATTTTGGTTGGCTCGCTATGCTTTCAATGTATTTAAAAGCCGCTTAATTCAAACTTCGTAATTCGGTTAATTCGTACTTTCTGCCTGTCCATACCGGAAAATTTCTGCTGATTTGCCGGCAATATTTGAAAATTTGCGTGCTTATGATTATCATAATAGTCTGATATTGAAAAATAAGCGCCTTAAAACTTCAAGGGAAAAGGTTTTGCCACACAATCATTTCTCAGCATTCCGCGCCGCGGTGAAAAAAAAAACGAAAAACAAAAACGGCCCGGTGGTTACGAAGCTGGCTCGCGGCTTATCTCTGCTTTTCCGGCGTGCCGGTGGCGCCGGCCGACTCCGAAGCACGTGACCTGCCCACAGAATGCGTACAGGTCTGCCCGTCTTTCTTACGTGCTGCGCATTTTTCGATCGACCATGTCACCGCGGGGAAAATATCGGACACTACCCCTAAAAGAGAAATTGGCCGCTATCCAAGAAGTCGACGCTGGGGTAAAGAAGACCGAAGTGGCACTGAAGTATGGAATAACCAAAAGTACTCTCACAACCATTCTGAAAGCCAAAGACAAGCTGCAGAATAACGCGAGCCGCTTCGCTCCCGATCGGAAAAGGCTTAGGGAAGCTGCGTACCCGGATCTCGAAAACGCCGTGCTTCTTTGGCTCAAGCGCGCACGGAGCTCCAATTTACCGATAAATGGGCCAATCCTACGAGAGAAAGCTGAAGAACTTTCCTTGCGCTTGGGAATTGAAAATTTCAAGTGCAGCGATGGCTGGATTTCTCGGTTCAAGGAACGCCACGGTCTCTCCTTCAAAACAGTGAGTGGTGAAGCAGCAGTGGTCGATGAAGCTGTTTCTTCTGACTGGCGGCAGACTAGACTTCAAAGCCTGCTGCTTGAATACTCCCCGGCTGATGTATATAATGCCGACGAAATGGGGCTGTTTTTTAAGTGCCTGCCCGATCAAACCTTGTGTCGCAAGGGAGAGCGTTGCACTGGCGGAAAGCTGAGCAAAGAACGGTTAACCGTCATGGTTTGCGCCAATATGGACGGAAGTCACAAGCCAGAACTCTTGGTTGTGGGCAAGTCAAAGCGTCCCAGGTGCTTTAAAGGCGTCCGAACGCTCCCAGTTGCATATGACGGAAACACGCGAGCCTGGATGACGCAAGCTTTGTTCGAGGGTTGGCTCCGCAAACTGGATGGGCAAATGAAGCGAGCGAAAAGGAAAATTTTGCTCATTGTTGATAACTGCCCTGCGCACGGCGACGTGGAGGGGCTGGAAGCAATTCGCCTTGAATTTCTGCCTCCTAACACTACAGCTGTCCTCCAGCCCCTGGATCAAGGGGTAATCAAATGCTTGAAGCTTAATTACCGGAAAACACTGCTAAAGAGAATGCTGATATGTATGGACAATTCCATGCCTTACAGTGTCACACTACTCTCATCGTTGGGCATGCTCGCCGACGCATGGAATGCTGTCACATGAGCAACAATAAGGAACTGCTTCGAGCATGCCTTCCGCATACCTGGCTGCAGCATTGCCACTTCATCTGACTGCTTGCAGACTGAGGGTGACGATGAAAGCCAAGTGCTGTCTGCTCTAAAAGCGCACAACATAGCTGCCGACCTCGACAGTTATGCAGCTACTGATGATAACCTGTGCGTGTGCAGGGAGGACACACTCGATGACTTGGTGGCAGAGGTGCTGCCAGCACAACACAGCAGTGAAAGTGAAGAAGAACCGGAAGTGGAAAATGTGACAACTGCACAGGCTTTCCAGTACATTGCTAAAGTGAGAAAATTTCTGACAACAACAGAAAACTCTCAGAATCAACTGGCAGCACTTACTGGCATCGAGAGCTTTGTGCTAAATGCGCATGTGGCAAATAAGCAGTTGACCATCCATGATTTTTTAAAAGGTCTAGTCAGCAGTAGATAGTCAATAAACTTGTTGACCATACATGCACCGCTCTCTGTTTTTGTGTAGTTAGGATCTAGAGATGCTTAAAAGTGTGAATATAGATGTCTGATCATAATTTGTGCTGTCACCTTACCCAGAGTCGCATATATGAGAACTTCTGATAATTCAAACAGCCTGATAATTCAAACAAAATCCAGGGGTCCCTTCGAGTTTGAATTAATGAGAGTCGATTGTACATACATACATACATACATACATACATACACACACACGGCGGCGCCCTTGGCCTGATAACATCAATTGAATACTGCTTCACCAATGGGCTCCGCGCAGTACATTTGCTTTTAGGCTAAAAGCCTCCAAGGATGCTATAGCGTTGTAGTAGGACAGTGATGGATCGTCCTGCACTTGGCCGCGGGTGCCTTGGGCGGTCGTGTGTAAAGCAGAGTTTGAGGAACGACCCAACTGATCGCCAGGACTGTAATGCACGCTCTCAAGCGGGCAGCCAGGGCCGTTCCGGTGGTCATCTAGTACGCTAGATTGACAGTTTTCGGCTGAAAATGTCGACGGGACAGCGGCATATCGAGAGGGAAGGTTTGGAGGGGGGGGGGGGGGCAGCGAAGATAGGTGACGCTGGGATTTCCTTTACTGACGCCTCCTCTGTTGCCCTTACTGGTGCAGGTTTGGGAAAGGGATAGAGGTGGGGGAGGGAGGTGGCAACCACTCCACGGAGATTCTCTTGTGTAGGAAAGGGGGATGTTGCTATTAACACAACAAATTACGTTCTTTTTGCCACATATGGGTTGCAGTGACGTGCGAGTGGGGGTGGGGTACGTAAAGTAAAAGCTTTAAGTTTGCGTACTTGATTATCTTGTTAATAACTTGATTGTGTAGAAGGCACGGCAGATCTGGATAGTGGACTTATTTTGGAGCATTCCGGAAATGTCGAACGTTCCGAAATTTCGTGTAATAGCGGAAGTAGTTTTCAGGTTCGACGATACGCAGTGTTTAGTCCAGCTTTTTTGCGTGAAATTTCAGCTTGATAAAACATTTCACGTTGTGTGCTCGCAAGGTGCTGAATTGTATTTACGCTGTTTCACTCCTCCAAAAAAATGCGTAGAAAGCTTACCCACTAATTGACTAAGTTTGCAGAAAAGCCACCTTGCGGGTCTCCTCCAAAAATTTTGCTGGAAGCTTCTCCATCAATCGACTAAGCTTGCAGGAAAGCCACTTTCCGGGTCTCTAAAAAGTTTGTTAAAAGCTTACCCAATAATCAACTAAGCTTGCGGAAAAGCCACCTTCCTGATCTCTTCTAAAAATGTGTTAAAAGCTTACCCACCAATCGACTGAGCTTGCAGAAAAGCCACATTCCGAGTGTCGTTGGGAGGTTACAGGTGCAGCACGCACTATACTGTCTCTATAAATCTTTTGCTGTGGTACAACAAATGCAGTTAAAAAAAAAAAAACACTGAGAAGCTTAGGTGTGCACACGAGGAGACGGGTCAAGGGGGTGGCCACCGCTCCCCCTAGTCACCCAGGAGGGGGGGGGGGTGATCAAAGTCAGCTCTATGAATTGACCAATAAGGGGGGGGGGGGGATGCAATTAAGGGTGTTTTGCAGGCTAGTTGGTTGTGATCGCTGCCATCTATTTTGGTAGCGCGAAAAATTATTTTACATGCGCAAACAGAAAAGAGGACACAAAAATAGGACGGGAGTTAGTTTTGTTTATGTGTCCTCTCTTGAGGAGGGAGGCGTTGGGACGAACCTTTTCCCCCCCCCCCCTCTTGAAGGGAAACCCTGTGCACGCTTATGCCGAAGAGATCTTTTTTTTTTGTTGCTCAGAGCAGCAAGAAGCTGAGCTATTTAATAAGCACTCACTCTAAAACATACTTTCCTAAAATTAACTAGAGGGGACTCGGGTGCTGCAATCATTCAGCGACCACGGGAATGATGAGTAGTACATGGATTTGCCTAGTCTTTGTGCTCTCCGGTGGTGAATCGCACTTGTTGATTCGTTTATTGCTGTGTTCTGGTTTTGTTTCGAAAAAAAGAACGAACACTTTTGAGTTTCGTGACCGAATTTGAAATGATGAGCTTGAAAGAATAAGGCCGTAAAGCGCAACCGCTGAACATTTGCTGATTTCAGTTTCGCGAGAAAACAGCTTTTCAGCCGCACAAGCACACATGAAGCCCGAAGTACGAAGATTAGACAAAGTCCATGTACTACCCATCATTCTCATGCTCGCTGAAGCGCCGTGCGTTGCAGCTCTCGTAGACACTAGCCCCAGAGTTCCCTCTAGTGTTTATTTAGGAAACTCCATGTTCTGAAAGACGAAGCATGCAAACACGGCAGTGCCTTGACTTCTTTCCGGTGTCCTTGTTTGCAGGCCCTGTCTCTTGGAACGATTGTTCTGCTCGTATTAGTGAATGCTTGAAGCATACGTGTGGGCTAATTGGTGATCATTGCGGCATATGGTAGCGCATACCGGTCGAAACGACAAACACTAACGAATAACACAGCGCTTGTGTTGTCCTTCAATGTTCGTTGTTTCACCCGGTGTTCACTGCCATATTGCCGTAGTGAATGCCTTTCATAATACCAGCAACAATTTTTGCGAAAAGCTGCTTGGGCAGTGAGAAAATGTGATAAAAGAATAGGCATGTCATGACACCGTCCCTGGGTTTCCTGCACCAACTTGCCTCGACGATATAGATTTTAAACGTGCCTGTTAAGATACTGGTCATTACTTGTCATTCATAATTAATCACTTCTGCGTTATGAGAAGGCTAAGGATTCAAACTGGCAAATTTCATGTACTCTCATCAAGCCATTAAGGCCAAAGTGCAAAAACAAGACTCAAGTTTTAGACACCATACCTAAATTATTTGCCGATTCGTCGGTTCGAAATTCAAAATGAAAGTATAGCCACAACTTTCCTCTTTGAATGACAAACTCATTATGGAGAAATTACTGACTCTCCTAAGAGCAATTAATCAGTCCAAGATTGATTTAGGGTTGCACCATAGTGTAACCGAGAAAGATATTATGAGAAGATAGGCAATATGTTAGGCTGGTGGGATAGGTGTTGTAGAGTTTGATTAGACCAATCAGGCTAAATGGCTGTTTGTCACTGTCCTATTTTAAAGGGTAGGCTGATGTATATACTATCTATCATTATCAGAAGCCCTACAAATATTGGTGTGAGGTTGCACAGCATATTGGGGTAGCACAGCTGCAGGCATTTTTTTATATGTCGAAAGCTGGTGTTGTGTATTTTATGTATTATCATGTTAATTTTAGAGTCCAGTAGGTTTTATGCTGCTCTGGTTGAACGGAATGTTGAAGTTGCTTTTCGCAGCCTGTTGCTGCTAGTCGTCTCATTAGAGGAGAGGACCTCTTGTTGACAGTGGTCTGCCCCCTCGTGGCGCTGTGGCAACAGGAGCTGTTAAATCTCTTCTAGCTCTGCCTAAAGTGAACTAACTTGAAAACAGTTTCTAGGCTACACAATTGTTCCTTTGCTGCCCTCTGATATTTCGGTAAGGGTCTTATTGGGGCTATGGAACCACCAGTATTGCCAGAAGGGAAACCTCTCAGATGAAGAGACGTCTTTTCCACGAGGGGAGAGTGCATGCGTCAGGCCGTCGTGAACAAGGTAGACGCACAGCTCATTTTGAAAGGTTTCTCATGAGTCGTCGTGAGGGACCCTTTAACCCGTGTTTCTCAGTGTGCTTACATTTTTGGCATGTTACTGAAGTATGCTCTCAAACAAACAGTAATTTGATATGAATGGGAACCTTTTGTTTAATTGGAGAACACTTTCTTAAGATTCACGGTTCTGTTTGAGAGCACTGCAGTGTGTCATTTACTAGCGCACGTAGATAAGCACCCATTTGTGGGCGTCTCTTTTCTGCATCCTACAAGACCCCCTTATTTTCTTGCAGGCTCTTCTATCATTTTTTCATTCTGGCCTATATTCATGCTGCCTTCATCAGAACGCCCATCAACTGCCTGGAGCACGTTTGCCATCAGTGGCCGCAGGACGGCATTCTGAGGATCGAAATTCTCCACGACACGGCCGCGACGGCCGAGCCGTACACTGTAGAGCAGTCCTATCTCAAAGAGCAGCGGCTGCAGCGCCTGGGCCAGCTGCCCGCCCAGCCGCAAGTGCGAGCGTCGAGCAGGGGCACCGAGAAAGTAATTTCGACTCCTCCGCTCGCCGACGCCTCAAACTCTACCTCAGAGAATGAACGGGACGACTCAGTCGCGGTGTTCTGGAGAGTTCCGTTTCTAGTACCCGGACATGGCTGATGACTCCGATGATGTTTCGGAGGTGGACGAGGCCTTGCCACTGCTCGGCGGTGGCCGTCACCTGAAAGGCGTGAAAGGCTGGCGGTTCGCAGTTTGTGTACCACGACGCCCTTTCCAATGGTAGCCAAGCCACCTTGCAGAACATTGACGGAAACGGGTACCCCCAGCCGCTCCAGGAGCCTGTGTCTGAGCTCGAGATGCTGGCCAGAGCTGGTGAGCTTATCATTTTGTGCACGGCATCAACTAACTATGAATGCATGCTAAGCTTGTAATACATTTTCAAAACCTATAGTATAAAAAAAGGGTGTTAAATAAAATGAGTCAATTTATGAAAACTTCAGTTGTTTAAATATTGTGAATGGCTTGTTGCTCTGATATTTCACTCTTATTTTCTTTTCTATTTGTGTACTTCAGGATATGAAACTGTATCGAATACTTTACTGTGATCCTCAATTTCACTTTAAAACAACCACCTCGATCAGTTTTTTCTCATGGAATTTTTATGATGTCTTTGTGTGTTGCCTTCATAGTGTTCGTAAGGAACAAGCCCATTGGCTTTCCTGATACAGATATAATGTTTACCATGGTTGCCGGGTCGGAAAGACAGAAAAAAAGGGCCAATAATATATAGAACAAGTTTGAGATAGCTGATTGGAGCCAAGGGTAGTTAATGTAGGCACAAGTGTGCACAAAAAACAAAACTGTGTCATTTAATCAAATTACTTTATGCAAGAGCGTTTTGCAAAAAATTCAAATAAATACAGCATAAACCCTTTCAAATCCAAATTTCTGAGAATCAAGCATAAATTGTTAATTTTAGCAAGCATTTCATGTGTTGATGAAGTTTCTTGGACTATTGCAATAAAATGGTGCTTTTTTTTTTTCACATATTATGTGACTCTTCTAAAGAGACTAATAGTAACAGCCTTGTTTGTGGCCACAGGAAATTGATTATGGTATGAGTGTGTCCGAAATCGCAGTTGCTGGGATTGAAGCACACATTTTGCAGTGTTTAAACTGGTCGTTCAACACCTTTGTTTTGAAAAAGGACATTTTTTTTAGGTCCGCGAAAGTTCTCGAATGGTATTCACTCCTTGAAGAACCCTTTAATTATGGAACCAGTGCAGTCAAAGTCCTCAGTGCATGACGATAGTTATAGCGCCAGAACATAACGACGACACAGAGACAAGAAGGACACAGACACGAGCGCTCGTGTCCTTCTTGTCTCTGCGTCGTCGTTTTGTTCTCGCGCTATAACTATCGTCATGCCATACCAACTAGCCCAAGCTGCCACACTCCTCAGTGCAGCCTTCTGAATGTAGTGTATTAGCATAGCTGCAGCAAACTTTTCATTTCAGGAACAATACGCCATACGAGTTTGCACGCATTCTGTTTGTTAGTGCCTTGTCCTATCGCTCATTTTACTCCTCACCTGTCGGTTCATCTCATCTCCTCTCTCTCTCTCTCTCTCTCTCTACTTATGTCCTTACGAGTTCACTCTTGCTTTCTGCATTTATGCTGCTTTTTCTCTAGTCCATTGAGCTGTGCATGTGCTTGGTACACTGTAACAATGTCAACCTTGCTAACACTAGAGAAGTCTCAGCATCTGTCTGGAACTTTTTTGACGTGCGAGAAACTGCTTTAGTTGGCATCGAAACTAGGCTTCTTAGTTACAGTTAAAACTCAATATAACAAAATCAGATTTTTTTCTTGCTTTGCAACCTAAGGAATAAATTTGCATTCCCCAGCTGGCACTCATAAGGTTCAATTTAGAATTCAATTTTCAATTTTCAAAATTTGTTTTATTGTTTTCTTGTACAAGACACAAGAAACAAAAGAATGTTGGGGCTAAAGGCATATAGCCTGACAGAGGACCCAACACCCTTGTACACAGTTCGTACATCAAAAAATAAAAATAAAAAACAGCTTTCACGGCATCCAGACTTTCATGAACAAAAGAAGCAACAGAGCAAAGAATAGATGACAAAAATATCATGTTACATTTAATCTGACTGATTATACAAATCTTGTAACATACTGCGTAACATACTTAAATAACAATCACTCAGGAAGGAATCAGACTAGAACATTAGAGACATGTGATACATACCATGATATTTTATAGTTAATAAAATACATGCAGTACAAGATTTCCATCGCCTGACTACTACCGTTGTTAACATCAGTATTTTTTTAGGATCCATCAAAAAGTATGTTTTCCTCCATTAGTTCAGGTCAACGTTGTTAACCTGAACTAATGGAGTTAACTTGCAACCAAAGCCGATTTAAAGAAACCTTTTGTAAAGTAAAGTAGTAAAAAGAAGTGCAAACATTTGCCATGTCAGTGGCTGCAACATCAAGGCAGAACTGTAAAGTATGTTGCTGAATCAATGGGATTTCTTTATTGGGCCTGGGCGCCCGCCGTGGACGTGGTTCGGAGACCATGTCTCAAAGTGGCTTCCTCGACAAGCTGGATGGGCCAGAGTTGTGCTGTAAGGTTTGAGCTGAGCAGTGCGGCCTTCCAGCGTCTGGGGTTTTGGTACGAGTATGTTTGTAATTGTCGGTAGTGTACCGCTTCTGTCCTGTGTGATACTTCAGTTTAAATCTAGGGAGCCGCAAAGTTGCCATAAAATGTAGCCGAATAGCCAAGACATATCTTTCTACACCACTTACCCAAAAATTGTGGCAAATTGGTACAAGGTAGCCAATCATGGCAACCCTAATGTTGGCATTTACATTGAACGACGTGTCATTTATAAATTCCTGTTACTAATTTTAGGAAAAGACTGCCTATCTTATGTCACTAACACAGAAGCTTTAGCAAGTTGGCACAGCATGCTTAAGATACAGCAGCACTCTGTCTATTCATTTCTTTTTATCGTTCCTAATTTTTCGTGCTCAGTAGTATCCTAAGCATCTCGCAAAAACATGATCATCATGGCAATGAGTGAGTGACAGTTGTGTGCATTAGGGTTTACCATTCAGTATTCAGGACGATTCAACATGGTGTTTTTTCTTGTGACTCATGTTTTTTACAGTGTGGCCTCAGGATGAGTACATAGTTGAGTACTCTCTGGAGTACGGACTCCTCAGGCTCAGCCCAGCGACCCGCCAAAAGCTGAATATCTCCGTCAAGATTGTCACGCTCGGTGAGCTGCCCCACCTGCATGAGTTGCACAATTCCATTTTGTATATCATGCAGTTGCAGTAGTACCCATAGTTGCAACATTGAGAAGACGAAAAAGTAGGCATTAGTATTCAGGAAACATAAACTTAGAGGGGTACAGTTATACATCAACTAACGTTTCTGAACTTGTTGCCAGGTGCCATTACTAGTTACAACTAACGGAGCGTCCAAGATCGCCTCATGTTTCAGCTTATTTCTCACGTTGACGGGACTGTCGTGTTTCAAGTGGCTAGGTTTGTTTATGGTCTCTTCCTACTTTCAATTTTTGCACTTGGCTACTACAGGATTTAAATATTTTCTACATATATTACAAGGCCACGAACACATTTAACAGTCCTTCAGAATGTTGGGCGTTATCAGGCTGTTGGGAAAAGCTCAGCAATGAAGAATTTATGTATATGAAAAAAATGGGTGCACCTACTATGTGGAGGGTAGATCTGGTTAGAGTTTTACATGTATTGGAAAGGCACTGGGTGGAAAGGCCTTAGAAACAAAAAATACTGAAAGTATGAGTGAAGCAACTTTGTTCCCCTTAGTCCCCCTTTACAGGAATGATACAGAGCAACTACTCATCATGTGCTAAGTGTTTACATGCAAGACCTGTTCTTTTGAAAAGGCCTGCGTCAAAGCGAATACAGCTAAACTAAGGTAGCCTGCTAATACTAAAGCTCTCCGTGGTATGCATACCTTTCAGTGTTTGTGGTATATTCATTTCAGTGTAATGTTTGAGAAAAAAGTGTGCCAAAACAAGCACAAAGTATAGTGTGCATGTAGTTCTTGATGCAGTGCAACTGTAGTCAGTGACAAGTCAACAATGCAGAAAACGCTGCTGTCATAAAAGTGCACTGTCTGTCGTAAAAGTGTACTGTGTCCACATTTCCGGCCAGAAAGAAAAAAAGGACTTCAATCGTTAGATCTTAGCTGAACTGCAGAATAATGTCTTTTGCCTTTGCACAATGAATTCCTGATGTGGTCACCCAATCTTGTGTGGTCATCCGACAGTATTATAGGGTTCTTTGTGGTCGTATAGCAAATAACAATAGGCTGGGCTCCAAGTTGACATTTTGATTGTTGTTTTGGAAAATTTATACAAAACATTTGCTTGCATCATTCTATGCCATGTAACTATGCCATACAACATGCAACCAGCCCAAGTTCTCACACCTGTAATTTTGGTGCACGATGGAGCGCGATCTCGTCACCTTGCGTCATCGACGCTGTGCAGAGCACAGCTGACATATGCTCCCATGTTCCCTTCAACAGTGGACTTCACTGTATACTGAAACTGTTGCAACAGTCGCGGTGAAGAGATGTATCTGTTGATTTGCTATTGTTGAGATGGGCAGGCTCTAAACACTAAGAAGAAACATGAAAGATTACAAGTGCTATGTTGTGGGAATGTTGTGTTCTGGATCCAGTAAATATGCATATACACATCCATAGAACTTATAGGTGGTGACACAATGTTACTAATGGCATGGGCACCATAAAACTTATAGGTGGTGACGCAATGTTAATGGCATGAGCGCACAAGCATGTGCAAGAAAACTTGAAACAAGGAACACTTTCTGGCATGTGAAGTCATGAACTCACAAATGGTAACGCAGTACTCCCAGCGGACATATTACTGATGGCATATTTAATACATACATAAAGACTCCTATTGCAGATGCAGTGGCTGCTGCATTCTTGGCCTATTACTGGTTGCGCACTGTTGTCCGCTCAAGAAAAAAAAAATTATAATAATACATTTTCTGACCATTCCGCGTGGTATGTGCGCACATTAGGCAAACTAAGTAATAAAACAAGAAGCGAAGTACCTCTCCAATTGATCACTGATTAACCTATATGTTGTCACCTTTCCTGTTTCTTTTTTTTTCTTCTTTTCTTTTGTTTTTGTGAATTGCCTCATTCCAGATCCTGCTAAGGACAGCTGTTTCGGCGACTGGTTCAGCCGGCTTCTCTTGGACGGCTTCCTGGGCTACGACGACGTCCTGATGGCAAGTCTCAAGAACCTTGCTGAACGTGAGGACAACAAAGGTACACCCATTGCTTTGTTTTACCTTATTACTTAGCTCTCTTATGATGGCTTTTTGAATCAAACTGAATGTGAAAAGCAGTGACAGTTTCTCAAAGTGTAGAAGCGCGCATTAGGTGTTGCGGGGAGCAAAAGTTTATGGGAGCACTTTGGTGCTACATTTAGATGCTCTGCAAATGTTAAAGATATCACGAAGTACTTTTCTGAGTATTTGTTGATTTTCTTCAGTATTGGAGTTCATTGCTTCATGAATCGTTTTCTGCTGGAACTTCTTGAATCTTTTTAGAACGAGCAGAGTTGCAGGGGTTTGTTATGCTCTTGATGGATTTTCTCCCTTCTCTCATCCCGCCAAGCGCACTGGAAGCCAAGTAGGGAGGGATGGTAGAAAGGAAAGCTGCATTAGAGATGTGCACAGGCCGCAATTTCGCGGCCCTGCCTGGTCCAAGCCCGATGCTTGCCGTAGGTGGGCCAGCCCGGCCCGATGATGTATAGAGTGCAGGCCGCCCAGGCCTGGCCCAGCGTGTCACACCCAAAATCTGGCCCGGCCCGACTCGATCAGCGATGCAATAAAACACATGGCAATAGAAAAATGAATATATGCATACGCAAACTCGAAAAAGTTACAGCACAAAAAGTGTACTTTTACCCTCAAGAGGAAGCACACAAATGAACAAGGACAATTTCGGCGCATCATCTATATTTTCGGCTTGATTCCCACTTTTCACCATGCCCGGCCCGATAAATAAAACAAGGAAGCCCGAGTCCAGCCCGGGCTCGAGGTGAAAAAACATTGGGCTGGGCTTGAGCTTTTGGGCTACCCGGAGCCCGCATACACCTCTAAGCTGCATCACAGCGCCATCACATTGAGTGCACGTGGTGAAATGCGATTGCTTTCTTCTTTTGAGACTCCGGTGCCCGAGTGAGGCTCACTGTGTCATGTTGTTAGACTACAGAGGGCTGTGCTGGCCTGTTGTAACACCCAGTGGCAAGAAACACATGTGATACTTATGCTGTACCTGATTTGTGTCGGCTATTGGCCGTTAGCGTGCTATTCGCTGTTTGACGTCAAACAGGACGCACCGACAACTCCGGTGAAAGTGAGCGCAGGCTTTCACAATGAAAAAATGGTGCCCGAAAAAACGGCAGCTTCGTCTAATAACACACACACACAAAAAAAAACACCTCATTTGCCTTTGGTGGCAACCCCACACAGCACGTCTGCTTACAGGACGTAGAGAAGCAAAGGGCTTCCGCCGCGCACGAATGGCACACAATGGGGAGCTGCGAGCATGTCGCAGCTGGCGATGGCAAGCTTTAACACGTCGCTTGAGAAAAAGTCTCTTGCGGCTAAGATGCACCCTCATTGCAATGACCACTGGGCCTGCTTGTTGAAAGCTAGAACAAATCTTTTTACCTGTGGGCCTCCAGCAGTAAGTGCGACTCAGTGTAGTGGGACAACACCTGAGCCCTATGCACTGCTCTTTGGCATAGCGCACGGAGCTAAAGCTAGAAGAAAGGTTAACACACCCACCGAGGGTGCCAATAATCCCAGAGAAACAGCAGACCCGCGATTTCTAAAGGGGATGTCAGACAGGGAGGAAAACATGTGCGTACCAAGCGCCTTCCAAGAAAAGGAAGAGGGTCTTGACATGCTCATGTCTACACTGAATATCGCGGCTCCGAGATCATGGGCAGTGCTGCCACAAGAGCAGGTGCACTGGGAAAGGTGGCGCCACTTGCCATCGTGGGAGAATGGGAGAGGGGAGGGACTAGCAGAATGGCAAAATGCCCACGCAGAGGCTTCGGTCATGCCTCGAATCCCCACAAGTTATGGATCCCCACAAGTTATGGATCCCCACAAGTTATGGATCCCCACAAGCTATGGATCCCCACAAGTTATGGAACTTGCAAGTGTTACTTTTTAGAGCATTGCAAAGGAAAACGACTCCTGACCAGCAGTACTTTTCGGTATTGCAGTTTCATATATTCTAAGCCTATCTATTCACAGCAGACTCTTAAGCAAAATCTCAAGGGACTAGAAAGGTGTTTGGTCTATTTTTTGGGAGTTCCATTCACAGCAAAGTAAAGTTGAAGGGTACAAAAAGGGATTTGAAAGAGGTACGAAAGAAACCATCTGCATGGCACAATGATGTTGAGAAATGAATTGCAAAAAAATTGAGAAAGCTGGTTTACCACTAACACACATATCATCAATAGCAGCTGACTGCAAGTAATGAATGAATTTCAAGCATGTTTGAGCGCGCTTTTTAATGTCAACTAGCGTCAGCCCAGTTTCAGAGACAGCCCAGTCGGTCCACCTTCACCAACATCGGCCATATCGGCCAATATCAACGAAACTGGGCTGGTGAATGGCAGCTAGGAGCTACTGACTCCTGAAACTGCGGAAGTGATATGGAGTCATAAACCAAGCTTTGGATCCATCTTGGACCAAATGCCTGGTAATTAGTGAATGTTTTGCCCACATTTGATTTTTAGAGCTGTTCTGTTTTTAGGGCTGTTCTGATTTTAGAACTGTTTAGAGCAGTGTCGGTCCTCATACTTAGTGCGTGGGCCTCGCAATTAATGCGGCCTCTGTGCGAAGAGCACTGTTGACACTGTCACACCACCTTTAGATCATGGATGTCACAAGTGATTTTATTTGTGATGAGGGCCAACTGATTTCAACTTTTTCATTATCTGCCGTCTGATTACCCACCATACAAAGAAAGGTACCGCTTGACTTCACTAAAGTCTACCAACCTGTCTTATACTTTTCAGGTTACGTAAGGAATGTGGTCACGGGCGAGCACTACCGGTTTATCAGTATGTGGACCAGTCGGACATCTTACATCGCAGCCGCTTTCATTATGCTCATATTTGTAAGTGTAATTCCCCTTTCTCTTGCTTCTCTGGTGTGCTTATAAATATTGCTACGTAACTATGGCAAATCTCAACCCATTTATGTGTGAAATTTTATTGCGCCGTGGGTGTATGGAAATCCGATGGAAATCCGTAAGCCTTACTCGCGATTCATGTGTCGATAGAGGTGTCTATTTAATGCTTGTGGCCTGTGCTGGAACGACTTGGCTATGAATAAAGCACGCTAGAGCGCTTTGGCACGGGATGCTACCAAGCAATAAAATTTGTTTCAGCTAGCCCTTCTCGGATTTTTTATCAAGAGAAGGCAGCCAAAAGTCACTTGTACTTTCACAAGGCTGTCCGTTGGTTACAATATTTTTACTAGACATAAAGTTAATTAGGACTAACAGACAAGGAAGCCAAGGAAAGAATACCAGATGTTTTTGTAGTGATTTAAATGTCAAGAAAGCAAAGTGGACGAAAAGATGACATGCCACTGGCAGGGTGTCAGCATCGTTATTTTTTTCTTCACTTTGTTTTTTTCACATTTACAATACATAGGTACTACAAATACCAACCTCTATGCTTTCCTTTGCTTTCTTGTCTGCTAGTCCTAAACAATTTTGCGTCTAGCGATAAAAACGAGCCATTACAAAATTTATCTTCTTTTCTGTAATGCATTCGTTCATTATAACTGCCTTAGCTGGGAAATTGTCCTTTCCCTAAAGGGGCCCTGCAACACTTTTCGAAGTAGTCACCAAATCACCTTATCAGCAGTGTTTACTTACTGTCCCTTTGACTGACTTCTGCAAACATGTTTTGAATTTGTCAAGTACGAGCAGAGTTAAAGAGATTTGCCAGACGTTCGAAGTGCTCTGTCTTGTCTCATTTCCGTGATGGCATGGCGATAAGCTGCACAGTGAGGGGCGACCCAGTTAAAAGAAGATACATTAGTGCTCGGTGAGGAATCAAGCATTTTATTTTTTAAAGAACAAAGCTTTTAAAGCTCGAAGTAATATGACGGTTATCTGAAAAAAAAACTTTCCGCGTCGTTGCTTATCAGCCGCACACATCCACCAAGACAGTCTGCACAACGATTGAATTCAGTTTGCCCACCGCGTAAGCCGAGTGCAAGCTACAAACGGTCTGCACTTCTACTGGGGGTGCCACAGCTAGGCTTGCACATTAGTTCTGGCACTGGAGGACCTTCTTGCATGGTCCGTGACAGACTGTGGTTCGACTCTATTTTTTATTTTTATTAAAGAAAGACCTAGCATCAGCCAAGAAAGCCATGTTAAGCCCCTGAGGTCGACTAGCTTTGCTGTTTGGGAAGCTTTTCAGAGCTTTTAAGTTGCTTTCATTTTGTTTAACACACTTTTCCAAAACGAGGTTCGTGACTCTTCACCTCGTTCTGCACTGATGTGCTGGCACCACTGGTGTCGGCATTCAATAATGTAGCCTCGACCTCGCAGTAATCTGCGCCGTCCCATTGCTTGTAATCTCTTGGAAGAATAACTGCGCTCGGGACAGTGTAAGAGACCTTTTTTTGTCCGTGGCCTCAAGCTCACCCTCATAAGCGTCTTCGTTAGTTGCGTCAAGTATTGCGAGGTCGGAGGCTACATTTCCGAACGCCAGTGCCGCTGGTGCCTGCACCTCAGCACAGAACTAAGTTAGGGACGCTTCACCTTGAGTAGCAGATGTAACACCCAGTCAAGAAACTGTGTTACATCATTGCACAGTGGTCCAGCCGAAAGTACAGGTGCCCGCGTTTTCCGGTGCGCTTCCCAATCGGCAGTCCTTCTAGGATCACTTCATTGCCACAATACACCTAAATGAAGAGCTTTTGCAGATGGAGAAGATCAAATACCTGCTCTTACACTTGAGTGGAGCAGCCAGAAGAGCTATCAGAGGCATTTGACTGACAGAAGGCAATTACAACATTGCAATCAAGACTTTGACGGAGCGATTCAGTTGACATGTCTTGCTCATCAACAAGCACGTTGACGACCTGCTCGCCTAAGCACTGGTCAAGTCTTCAGCTTATGTTGAGAAACTTCGCCTACTCTACGACCAGGTCCAGCTCTGGGTTTCCGCACTGACCAGTTTGGCGTCTCACCTGACCAGTACAATATTGTCTTCAACCACGTCCTAATGAAGTGCCTGCCTTACGGCGTTGTTATACTTTGTCACCAGAAGGTGAAACAAATGCCGCAGGATATGTCTGGTATCGCCAGGCTGCAGAAATACTTTCCTGTGCATTGAGATTGAGGTCAGAGAGGAAGGTAGGCCAGGACAAATGGCATCAGCTTTCTTATGTTCGCTACTGAATCTCCACCGAAACCAGTGGGACATCTGCCAGTTACATCCGCTCTCACTGCAGAATTTGTTACAGTTACAAAAGAAACTTGCCTTTATGCAGTTATTCTGGTAACACTAATGCGAAATGCAACGTCCAGCTCTCTGCCGAAGAAAAACGGGCTCACTTGCACAGTGCTCGATGTTGTACTGCTGTGGCATGAGCAACAGTACGGTGCAGTTTTGCCGATGTGCGCCCATCATTATGTGTGGCAAATGCCATCGTCAACCTTTAATGTCGTGGTGCCATCAAATTTTGAGGCTATAACAAGCCTCTTGTGGGTTTCCTCTGTATGCAAGGACAGTCCACACAAATGGTTGGGCGCAGAAAACGTTTACAATATATTTCAAGTCTCTTGAAAAGTGTACCTAAATTCGAATTCTCCCAGCCGAAGCCCATCGCAAGCACAGTCTGCGCTGACATAGCTCTGTAGGAAGGGCAACAAAAGTTGTAGTGATGTTACACCAGAACTGTACGACGTTACACCAGAGCAAAGGCATGCGCAGGTTTCCCTTTCAGTAAGATCGTAGCACCCCACCCCCCCTCCTTATTATCCTAATATGTCAATCTATGAGGCTGACTTTTCACCCCCCCCCCACTTAGGTGACTACAGGAGGAAGGTGAGTGACCTCCGCACCTCCTCCACGTATGTACCGGCAAAGCATTGCAGCTGCTGCCGCTAGTCGTGGCAACTGTCGGCGCGTTTGTTTTGCAGGTCCTTGTGTGGCACGTGTGTGCTAGAGCAGACCATAATCAGCATGAAGAGCTTCACAGCCTTGTGTGGCCATGTGACCAAGCCTCTTACACTGCCACATCACATCCCAACTGTGCACCCAGAAACCGAAACTTAAAGTTGTCCACATAAGTAAGGCGCTATTAAACTATTTCGCGTGGATAAAAGAATCTTGGTACTTGTATCATGCTTCTTAGAGCTATAAAAAAATGCTTGCAGCAAAGAATGAGCAAGCCACAATTATGGCGGCACCACCCCTTTAACGATCCTCTGCTAGTTGATCCAACTAGCTTCACCAACCAGTACAAACACGATGACAGTTTATCAGGACGAGCCTCGTATTATTGCAAAAAGTGTAAATGTGCCTCCAGGAGCATCTGCCCCAAGAGTTCCGAGCGGAGCCTACGTAGTCTTACTGCAAACAGTGCAAGTGTGGGTTGATTGTGGGTCACGAAGGCGTCTCGTACGCATTCTTCTCGACAGCGGAAGCCAGCGTACATTTATTCGATCGGATGTCTCAAAGGACCTCAGATGCCCAGTTATCGGAAACGGGAAATTTCCTTGGTTATGTTCGGCCTCTTGACGCCCCATGAAGTAATGCACAGAAGAGTAGCTTTGACTTTTTAAGGCTAACGTAGGTATATAGCAGTGTCCATAGAGTCCTTGGAGGTACCTGAAGTGTGTACAGTAACAAGATCAACAGTACGGTGTTGGAGCTTCTGTGCAACAAGAACTGTGGTGTTGCGAACAGTTTTTGTTCCGACACATGTCAACCATAAGAAATAAGCGTCTTACTTGGCTCCGAAGTGTATTGGAAGGTGGGTACAGAAAGGATTGAACATTTTACCAGTAACCTGATGGTTGTGAAAATAAAGGCAAGTTGAACCGTTCAGGGAACAATGGAACTCTTTGGAAGTTCACCTACGGGTGCTTTTTTACTAATAGGCAACCCGACTTCCCTTCAGTAGTGCAATATGGTGTGTCGACATCATCCGAGTCAAGTCATCTACTGAGGGAAAAAACAAGGCTCCGCTTGCATTCGAGACTTTTGAAGAGAGCACTGTCTATTTGTATGAGCAGCGCAAAGACTCAAGTTTCAGGGGCACCTTTCGGCACTGACAATCGAAGGTCGGCTGAAAGCTATCTGCAAGCTCTATTTGACAGCTTCAATGAACAGCCCGAACTTTTGAGGCACAGTGGCGAGGCAATCACAACAGAGTTAAGTGGAGAACAGACAAGGTGATTTGAAGTATATATCAGTCACAATAAGATGTCTATTATACGCCTCATCATGCACTCATCAACAGAGATGCTGTCACAAAGCTTTATGCTGTGTTTGAAGCTTCAATACATGTGCTAGGTCATCCATGCCAGATGATCATCTCCTGCTCAACGGTGCAAAGCTTGACGCTGATTTTTTCCAGCTACTCATCATTTTGAGACGTCAACCAGTCGTCAAATGCAAGTGCGTGGATGATAGAACTCGTTGTGTGGAAGCCAGGTCATCCGATCGACAAAAATACATTCAGGCGGTCACTTGTGGACAACAGTCTTAATTCTGAGGGCCTTGCTCTTGTGATCTGGGAATTTTAAGCGGTCGTTAATAGCGAAGCTCTTGTTTGCCTGGACAGTATCCCTGAACAGCTGCGACTGCCAACACTATCACACTTCTTGTTCAGTAGACACGACGTATGCTTTCTGCACCGAAGTACCTCTTCTGATTGCAAGACATTTGCAAGAGAGCATAGAGTTTCCTAAAATTAACTAGAGGGGACTCTGGCGCTGCGATCGTTCAGCGACCATGGAGATGATGGGTAACGCACGTATTTGCCTAGTCTTCGTACTTGAGGGCGACAAATCGTACTTGTGGCTTCATTTATTGCTGTGTTCCGGTTTTGTTTCGGAGAAAAGAACGAACCCTTTTCAACTTC